GCGGTACTGGTTTTCACTTGGTTACGAATGATACCCAGTATTGGATGGTGTACTAGACGAAATGTCTGGTGCTTTACTGTTTGCACTACCAATTTGCGATTGCAAACAATAGTAATAAATGTGGCAATTTAAATTGTGTTTGAGCCACATTATTTTGGAATAATGTATTTTGAAATAGTAGATTGATAAAGAATATATGGTTGAAAAAAAAAAAGGAAAAGTTATTGATGTGATGGAAAATATTATTTTATTGAAAAATGTGATTGAAAATGAGTAGAAGAATGAAAATGAAAATTTTAATGTGTACCAAACAGGGGCTAAGTAGTTAAAAATTTAATTTTCGATCATAACTTATCAAATTAATTAGTCATAAATTATTTCGAGGTCATAAATCAAAAAAATTATAGGTCACAATTGATTTCATGTCGCTAATCAAAAAAATTATCGGTCACAAATTTTTAATTGGTCACAAGTGAAAAAAATTGTAGATAACAGAAATCACATATTTTCAAATTTGTTGGTCACAGATTAATGAAAGGTTGCGGGACCATATAGTTGGTCACATACACACAAACACATGTCCTTCAATCCCAGTACACCGCCAAGACTTGGTCACGGGTCACATATCGAAATAGTTGGTCACATACCCAATGGAAATAGGATGGTTAATGACTATCTTCAACTGATTGCTCGATTTGAAAATCAGATGAGTGCTTGAGCCACTAAAATCCATTCCTCCTCTCCCTAAAATTATCAAGACTATTGCCGTTTGGTAGGCTATACTAAAAAGAAATGCATTTATTGACGTTCACAAAGAAATCACAATATTTATAAATAGAGGAACTACTCGGAATCTTTCCCCTTGGTTTCATGGTTATCTTCTCCAACCGTTGCTGTAAAATTACGCCTTCCATCAGAATTGGCAGTAATAACTGGCATCCATACATCATCTGTACTACTTAAGAGTGATTGGACCTGCGAGTCTACAGCCATTGCTAAGGATATCATCTCATCTACGTCGTCCAACTTTGCTGATAATTTATCCAACTCATTTTCTATCTCCATCTCATTGAGATTTCGAGCAGATTTGGACAGAACTTTTAACCTCCAATCCCAGGGATTCAATCTTGGCACGTAACTCCACTTCTTCTTGATTTGTTAATGATTCCACCTGCTGGTAAGGGAGGAGGAGGAGGAAGCGTCGGGCGGTGGTGGTGGATGAATCGCTGAGAGAAAGGTGGCCGTGGCGGTGGAGGCGGCCGGCGGTGGAGTGGAGAGAAATGAAATGGATTAGGGTTGGGTTTGGATAGAGTTTTATATCTAAAATAAATTTGATGGAGTTAGGTAGTAGGGTGGGTATATAGATTATTTTAATTTTATAATATCATTGATGCTACCAAAAATTCGCGCCTGGAATATTCCGAGCTTGACGACTATAAGCGAGCACAGTCTTGATCTTCTTTCGGTACCTGAAACAAAGGCGTCGAGGTATGTCCTCATCGTCCCTTCGATACTTAAGTCAGAAAAGGGATTTTAGAGGGTATATGCTGAAAATATGTGTAAAAACGTACCGTAATGATGGTTGGGAATGCTGTATTTATAGGGGAAGGTAAGAGAGTTGTAGTAGGACTCATCACCTTGATTTCAGGCATTATTGTTGGGACATGTGTTGAATAGACGTCTCCTATTCTTCCTGCAATTCTAGCGAGGGTAGACTCCTTCCTCACTTAAAACTCTTGAGAAACAGTAACTGGGTAGAATTAGGACACCTTCATGGAGGTGGATCGGTGACGCATGATCACGGAGCTTTTTGAGAGAAGCCAAGTAAATATCCCGAGCATATATGTATCCCAAGGACCATTAACAAGACTTTCGAGGCAATTCGGGAGATGGTCATCCTCGAGCTGGAGGACCATAGAAGCTCCGAGGACTAGGAACCCCAAAAAGGGGGAGGTGGGACCCATGCCAGTCGTCGTGCTCGAGGTATACCAAAAATATTATCATCAATCATTATTAATTAAAATGATAAAAACCTGAAAATTGAATAAATAAAGTATAAACTTGATTTTTAAAAATGTCAAACTAAATGCCTGATTTTATACAATTTTCCCTACATAGATTGATCCATAAAGCCCAATAGTTTATCAGAGTTGAGATTATGATAATTTCTAAATTTTTGCGATTTTAATTTTATTTTAAATATCATTAGGTTCGAATGTTCCTTGTTGTCAGAAAAAATCAAGAATTATTGAGTTTAGCAGGCAAGAAGGTCAATTTTTTGAATATTTATTTAAACTAGGAAAGAATTAAAATATGCAAAAGTTGTGCCTTATTTTTTTTAAAAAAAAATTGCTATTTTTATTACTGTGGTTTGATTATTAATGGATTTTCATTATACCGAGCATGCTTGGATAGAGTAAGAATAAGTTTTAGGGTGATTATATTCCCACCACATTTTTTTCTTATAAATACGTCACATTTTAGTTATATTAAATATTATTAACATTTATTCATCATACTTATATTGTTAACTCTCCCTCTCTCTCTTTTTTTATTATCACATTCTTACTTTTACTTTTTCATTGATCATAAAATCTTATCCTTAATTATGGTTTTCATCCAAAAATATCATTAACACACTTTAAAATGAGAGTCGAATATTTAATTGCATTTTTTCATTATTATTTGTTTTGCTTATTTAAAAATGCAATGGGGATGTAAGTCTTTTTACTTTATTTTAATGAAAATTTTGGAGAGAAACCATAAATAAGAACAATTTATGTTAATCTGAGAATAAAAATGTGATGAAAAAAATCGAGACATGAATGTGATACCATGTAAAGTTTATGAATATTTTATGCAATTAAAATATAGTTTAATTATTAAATAATACGGTGTTAATATATTTAAGTTTTATTTTGTGAACAAAATCGTGCCAAGTCAGCATGCATGAGACTCTAAACTTAAAAAGATAATAAATTACTTATTTACTAAGAATAATGCTATTAGAACTAGTGGTGCCGAAGCACCAATCTAGGTGATCAAATTTGATTAGTTTAATTTAATAAATAATGTGACTTTATATTTAAATGAATCTATCATTTAGTATCATGCAGTTATCACCTAAATTGGTATATGGTACCAGTAATACTAAATATAATTTCCTATTTACTAAACATGCTCATTAAGATTCATTTGAGAAGAGACACCTGAAATAAGATTGTTATCGCAATTATTCGTGAAACAATTGGGGTTCAAATTTTTTCAAGAAGAAAACATTTTTAATATTATATTTTGCACACAAATATACCCAATTTATGTATTAATAATTTTTTGCTATTTTTATTACGGTGCTTTAAGTATTAACGAGACTTCATTATTTTTAGTACGATGGTTTGTGTATATAATGTCAAATTTCTGTCCAACTATGTGTATCAAACATATACTACAAGTCTTCGAAATCTTGCTCACATCAAGGGCTAAACCATCCTTGGTATTTTCGACTACTAAAAAACCTTGAATGATGAAGATATTTAGTCCGTGTCCTTCATATGCCATCGTTCCCTCAACCTAATCTTCAATACAATCCAATTTCCTCGGCCTTCGTTTTCTAGGCCTGTTTGCTGCAGAATGCGATCGATCTCGTCGACTCTCGGATCCTTCATTCGCTTTCCAATCCAAAACCGTTTCAAGGCAATCATCAGTTTTCGTACTACCGGGATAGCTATATGCTTCAAGCTCCGCAAAATTCAAGCTCTGTGCAGTAACATCTGGTACTGATTTCGTTAAGGGTCTGTAGCGTTTGAAAAACAAACATACGACTGCACAATCATCAATCTTGGCACACGGGAATTTATATCTCCATGCTCGAACAGCGCATTCTACCAACATTTTAGCTGCCATTGATCGTGTCTTTGCCGATGCCACAATCTTAACTACTTCATTGTTTGTCAAAACATCCCATATCTGAACTAAAACAAAAGTTTTAAGTGAATTCATTGTAGTTATCACTTATCCAAAAGAGAGAGGCCAATTCTAAATCGAATTCTATCCAGTACTACATATCAAACATGTCTACTAGATTTACAAAATCTTTTGAACAAAAGTCTTACCCCATCGGTTGCTAGGACCACGAATTCGTCTCTTTCTGTGAGCTTCCTATAAGTTACTTCGGGTGTTGAGATTAGGCCGAAATCTTTTAAACAAAAATCTCCAAAAGCTCTTGCCATAGCAAGACCAGGGCAATCTTGATCAGGCATCCATACTCTAAACACATTTGGTTCTACATCCATTGCCAAAACTCTGCCTTGGCAACTTCTAATCCTTTGCTCTTCACCTAATTTAGAAGCAAAGATAAGGCTAAATTTAAGAAGTACAAAAATGTATCAAAACTTTTGGCCATTTCGATGCAAAGGAAGATGACAAAAACTAACTTGGAAGATTCGGTTTCAAATCAACCGTTAGCTGTTCAGAAATAA